GATGAAGGACAAAAGTACTTGACAATGCCCAGATGTTGATTTGATGCCGATCGCTGATAAGGAACTGGAGTATAGTGGGTCAGATTAACTCCCCGCCTTTAGCATGAGATGAGAGACAACTTTACGCATCTTAGTAGGGCAAGATGAATCTATGAAGTTATATAGAAAAATAATTTCTCACCTGGGCAAGTATTTTCTATTTCTCAGCCACATGCAGGTACACCAGGCGTAGTAACCCATGGGTCGACAGAAATGGTATAGATCTGCCCCTGGGATCACGTGTGGAGGCGTCATCAAGTGACATCTCTTCCAGGGTTTCTCCTCACAACTTCTACCTCCGCCTCTTGATCCCAACCCCACACCTTGTTTCAGCTAGAAACTGTTTTAGCGATATTCAACTGCACATACCTGAGAGATCTATCATCTGCGTTTCCCCAAACTACAGCTACCACAGCCATGAGGTTCTTATCAGCTGCCAGCCTCTTGGTTCTTACCGCTCCTCTTGCAAACGCAGCCGCATTCTCTATCTTTGATCCCACACAGGCTTCACTGAAGGTCAACGATAACGAGAAGTATCCAGTCAAGGGCGATAACCCATTGCAGTACTGTGCCAAACCAGACAGTTACAAACTCGAGATTGAGTCGGTGGATCTGGCACCCAACCCGCCTCTACCGTACGTCATTCACGAAGAGTGTTCTCACAATGTAGTAGATTTCACTAGCTAACATCTTGGTGGTAACAGAGGAAAGAAGTTGACAATCTCCGCCAAAGGTACCCTGCTCGAGAGAATCGAGAAGGGCGCTACCGTGAACCTGGAGGTGAAGTGGGGTCTCATTACTTTGATTAAGCAGACCGTCGACCTCTGCGATGAGCTTAAGAACGTGGACCTCGAATGTCCCCTCGAGAAGGGCGAGATGATTTTGACGAAGGAGGTGGACTTGCCCAAGCAGATCCCACCGGTACGTTTTCTTACGGTTGTTTCATACCTAAATAAGCAGCTAACGGCGTTTTTACAGGGCAAATACTCCGTTCTCGCTGATGTCTACAACAAGGAGCAGAAGCAGGTCACTTGCCTCAAGGCGGATGACATCGTGTTTCACTTCTAATCCTGTCTAACTTCGACATTGCTTTGCATCCACTCATCAGGTGGCATCTCTCGATTTGTTGAACTGTCACCCTCATTAGCTTATGTGCTTGACTCGGGGGTCAAACATCCGCAATGCTCTTTTCCATGCCCTTCTCATGACTACCTCAATATGCGCATTCTGTTGTTTCAAGTTCTATAACGCTTTGCAGTACTTTCGGATATCATTTGGAATTTCTCATTTCTACGCTGTTTTGCATTTGTTGTCTTTTTTTACAATCGTGTGTATAAACCCTAACTGGGCACGACTGTAAAATTGGCAGCTACATCTGGCTGTGATTACAATGTACAATCCCGTCATCTCCACTGACCACGCAAGGTACATTAAATAAATTCCGTATAGCCGCGAAGAGAATATATGTAAAGGGCATACGAACTCGTTCCAGTTGCGTTGGGTATCTTCCCTATCTGATATTTCCACATTTTCTTCCCAATTATGCTCAAGCGCCGAGATCAGCAATGATGGGACCAAAGGTGTTGCGCAGACCCTGGAGGCGACATGGCGAAACCAAATCACCGCTTCCTGGCTAAATGACAACGATAAACATCCATGCAAAACAAGCCTACTCTCCAAACAGGCGGCGGACACGCTTGAGGACACTGTCCTTCTCCGGGTCGTAGGGGTGGTCTTTGCTAGGGATTTCAAGGACAGCTGGGAAAGGATCGGCGAATGCGTCGACGATATGGCGGATGCGTTCTGCGATCTGAGGTTGACATGTGTTAGCGGATATGTAGGCAATGAAATGCGAGCGCTTCAAATATATAGCGCAATATATGGAGAGGGATCTCACATGCTGGTTAATCAAGAGCACGGCAATGTCTTTCCTCTCCTGGGTGAAGTTCTGGAAGGCCCGTTCGATCTCCGACGTCTCGGTCTTGGAATCAACGACGAGGAAGTTTCTCTGGGAGCCCGGCGGTTCGGTAACGTGCTGTAAAAAGAGCCAGCAAGTTAGCATGGCGTTTCATATGAATGTCATAGAGATGTGACGTAGATGGGGCAGTGAATAGTCTCATACCCCGATGCCTGCGAGCAAAAGACCAGTAACGGAGCTGCATAATAGGTTGAGCTAGGTTAGCCAAACATGATCTTGAAGAGCAAATTGGAAGAAGGGTCTTTACTCTTCATCACCAATGACAGCAAGGAATTGCCGGTCCTGGGGTATCGAGTTAGCGATCGGAGGGGTCATTCTATCGACTTCATGTCAAGTACCTTGTATGTTGCGGCCGTTGCCGCCATGATGAGGAAAAAGAAAAGAACCTGAGATTTCCAAGAAACACAATTCTCGAACTAGCAGTTCGAGATGGATCAAGTAAATGACAGATCTGGTCCAGCTGTTCGTTGATCGCCGTGGTTATCGCCGGGAGCTGCTAATTACATAAGCTGATGCAATTTCTCAGATTTGTTTACTCCAGTGCTTCATTGTCCGCAAACAATCGTGGAATCACCATTGACTCAACCCTCACCTTTGATGTCCTTGCGTTATATTATTGATTAGATCGAAGTTGCTGAGGAACAGCTTCTGTCTACTACCACCGTCCTCTGACATCATGCCTCGACTTGTACGCCGCCGCCCGCTCTCCGAGCGTATACTATCATACCTGAATCCATATGACTTTCTGCTTTGGCTTTCTGAGGAATTTGAAGGCGGTGATTGGGACCAACTGGAGAAAAACTGGGCTTTGCCTATCGGTATTGCGCTCAACTTGATCTTGCTTATTGCGCGAGCAAATAGTCGGTCCGGTGGTAGCAAGGCTTTCGACGATGTGTTCGGCGATGACGATGGCACATCCCTGCGTGGTTGGCTTGTACGTTACTCTCCCTCCCGTGTTTCTACCTCTTCTTCTACCTGCATATTCCCGAAATTGATGAATGGAAAGCTAATCGGCCGTGGTTGTTCCACCTAGGCCTCATTTATCGCCCATTTGATGGCCGTAGCCTCCGTTGTCAATGCAGTCTACACCTTCCAGAAGAAGAGACGCTATCGCCTGTTTGAGAATTCTATTGATAACAATCCGGCGACCCCATCAGCGCATCGTGTACGCGTTGATTCAAGCCCCAGGATGCCGTCTCCCTTGCGGTACATCGCCAGGGCGCTATCATCGGAATCGGCAAACTCGAGAGCACACCCCGACGCACAGCAGGATGTCTGGGAACTTGCAATTTGGGATCCTTCGGCACTTTGTCTCCGGCTCTTTTGCCTGTTCAGCCCAGGGCACGTCTTAGTATACTGGCTGTTCCTCCCGACGCAGCTTTCCGATCCTCGACCCAGCGTGACGATTGTAACGACGATCGTTTTGACAGCTCTTCTATCTGTGCAAATGTCCTTCATCTCTTCTTCTTACACGCAGCAAGCCAAGGACCAGAAGGTTATTCACAAGGAGGTCTTCAAAGAATATGACACCAAATATGTACAACCTCGGACACATCCCGTGATGAGAGATGTTGGCACGCAATTCTCGGATCCCTATGGTGAACCACCGAAGACTGAGGACGAATGTAACAGGGTTGAAACTTATAGCCCTGCCGTCATAATTAACCGTGGCTTCAAGACCAGCCCCAACCCCAATTACCTCAAGCACGTCGACCCAGAAGGTTTCACCCCGGTCCGCCAGTCAACTACATCTACTCCGATCTCCTCTATGTTCCAAGGGCCCCCGACCCACACACCGAGCATGTCTCGAGATGGCTCGCCGATGGCGCGAGGCAACAACCGCACAACAATGCGACAACCGCAGTTCCGATCTACTGCAACGACAACGGGCGATGGAGGAAGCCTTGGTGTTTACAGCCACGCAAACTCTCCACTGAGGAAGTCTGCGACAACTTCATTTGATCGCCGCTTACAAAGCAACGGAGACTTTGTTTACAAAGAGCGTGGTACAACTCCCTTGATGCGGACCTCCAGTCCGCTGAAAAGAAGCAGTGTACCGGGAGGCATGAACCCAGGTGGCCCAGCTACCGTCAATAGATCAGATAACCTCAACTCTCGCCGAGAACCGGGGCGATTTTAGGACGAATATGAATGACCAATTTCCATTTCAACAAGCATGAAAAGTTGCCCAATCAGCATCAGATGCGCAGTTTCCTGTGTTCCTTCGAGGTTCCTGTTCTCCTTTGCGGCATGCCGATAATGATGCTATAGCAGCATCTTTCGTACAAACATCATTCTTAATTGAGGTTATACCCGGTGCAGCTTTACATTTGACGTTTTGTTTCATGGTATTCATGCACATTCGCCACGCTGGGGAATGCAAGCTCTTCATCTAGGGCTGCCGAAAATTATGGCACTTTCTTTTCCGATCGCTTGATGTTGATTATGATCGACTTGGTCATTGTATTCAATTCAATTGGCGGATAGATTGCCCCGGGGTTCTTAAGTTATCAGTCCACTATGTCTACGCTGTGATCTAGATACGTATCTAGATCGCACTTTCTCTACATTCAGCTCTTGCAACTTCCAATGATGATGCGATTCATTTTGAAATGTTCCAGAGGAAACTGCCATTCCGGATGATGGTGGGACATTTCGAACGGCATTCGCCCTAGGGGCTGGCATTCCTCACCACCTGGCATTCCAACCAACAGCACAGTATTATTACGAGTTATGAGTGATCACCTGGGAAGATCTCTCAACAGGCTGTTTCTTGAATCGCCCCGCTCCTTCGAGCCTTGAGTCTTTCATATCCTTCTTTCTACAGCCGCCGACCGACATAGACCTTTCCTTGGGAAAACAATCACAGGGAACGACCACTCTCTCATTGCTCCTACACGGCATGGGCTAGTGCGATTATTCACTGTGCTGTGCCAATAGCATTGGCAACCCTGACAACAGTCATTCTTAGCCCCACCCCAACATGGACGAAGCTCATGTCGAATTGCCCGATGGACACCTTGTGAATCTCTCACCACGACCTGTACGCCAAACTTCCTACAAAGCGTATCGAGTCGAGTACAAGCCCTCGACGGAGCTCTCGGCAACACCTCCACCTCGATACCTGCAAGAAGGAATACCAACAGGATATGTCGTTGCAAGAGGTGCATCGGCGAATATATCTCAAATGTCAAAAGCTACCAAGCTGCCAGTCCCGAGGTCATTCTCTGAAAGTCGTAACGATGATTTAAGTCAAACGTCTAGTCCCAGAATTCCTAAACTGACCCCAGCCAGCCACTCCTTGGGACGGCTCGGTGACCAGCCTAGACCTTCGGAAAAAGGTCATGATCCATACTGGAGGAAAATCCGAGATAAATTGGAGGAGTCGCCGTTGTTACCAAGACGTGCCAGGAGCAAGGAAAGCGACAAACCCGAATCTCCTAGCTCGCCCATCTCCTACCACCGCAGCAGAGTTCCCACCAGCGCTAGCCAAAATTTCGCAAGCTCTCGGGCGATCAATGCACCATCAGGCATCCCAAGTCCAAGCACTGTCAACAGCAGTCCCGCGCAGGGGCCGAGAAGAAATGAGCCCACCACCCTTTCCGAGGACAGCCAGAACAACTGGCGGAAGCAAGGTGACCAATGGGTCAACATGGATGTTACCGAAACCACACCCCAGAAATCAGTGAAAACAAACGCAACGACCGATTCCAGCCCTCGATCTCATCCTTCCGTCTCGCCAGTATCCGCCGAGGACAGTTCTATCACCGACTGGGAAGACCGATTCGTCGTGAACATGCCAACTGCAAAAGATCCCAATCCGCCAACGATGACGGCACAACAAATTGCCGAGTATCAAAGAAGCATTGAGCGGGTACACCGGGCTGGTGGGCAGATGGCAGACCCGGAGACATTGCCTAGTCGCAACGCGTCTCCCGAGATCAAATTCATCCCTAGCGAGCAAAGAACCCAGAGCCCAAGGGCAGTGAACACATATGACGGGGCAAACGATGGGCGTCAAATGCCGAGCTTGCCACGAGACCAACGTCGCCCATCACCGCAGCCTCTGCAAAATTCTCAGCTGGAGCAACATGCACAACCCCAGCCCCAGCAGCCCCAGACCATGACTGCGTCGCAACGTCAACTAGCTAGCCACTACTACAGCCCGGATGAAATTGGATATAATCGGATTAGCACAATTTGGGAGGAATCCCCCGCAAAAGCCAAGGAGAAACGACACCCCCAAAATGCGGATGGGTCTTTTTTAGGGTGCAGGGAAATATCCGGGGAGAAAAACCCGGACGAGATCCTCACATTTGCTTCCCCAGACGATGCCAGTCTACATCCACTCCCATTGGCCCTGGTTTCCAAGAACAAGCAACAGGCGCCGAGGCAAGTGAGAAAAGTGACAGACCGACATGCCATCCAAAGAGTGGAGGAGACCGTAGTCCTTCAAGAAGAGCGACCACAAACTTCTCAGAATTCGAAACCTGCCCAATGCTCGAAGCCATCAGCCATGTACCAGGATCGGAGCCGCTCCCAGAACCCGTCTCCAATTCCGCGCACCAGGTCCCAGGACTCGAGCAAGGAGAACTACCACCCTACCAGCAATACACCCGAGCGGTCCAGGAGCCTAGAAGCAAATCGAGGGGACGGCGATGTGTTCATTATCACACCCACTACCACACGCACTATGATTCCCACACCCGACAAGAAAGTATCTTCGCCAAAGCCGCAAGGGCTGCGTCGTCCTGGTGGCGCAAATCACACAGTCACCGCAGAGGCTATCCAAGCCGTCCGGACAAAGGCTCAGATAATTTCCACCCCATCGGGGTTGCGGCCCGGGGACCCGGTATGAATATCAAGCCAACAGGGCGTACCTTGACAACTTCGCAAACGTTTCCACTCGGCAGCATCTCCGCCCCGCCGAAAGATCGAGACGACGAGGGTCAAAACCAAGATCATGCGCAAGGTCGTACTCCAGAACGAGCACCAGGCACAGCGCCGAATTCTATCCGTGGCTTCATCCGTACCTCCGGGCTGGCGAGGCCCTCAGGGCTAGCCAGATCACCCACAGACAGCATTGCTACGATCCTGCGCAACAGGACCGAGTCCCTGCGTACACGTGCCGAGTCTCTGCGGAATGATTCAGGGTCACCCCAGCGTGTGAACCAGCAGCAGTCCCCAAGTCCTCAGCCAATTCTTCCATCTAGGGACAACTCGGAATCATCACGATCAGCGCGGTCTTTTCAGTTCTCCAAGGACACCCCAATTGTCTCAGCAACCAAGCCTCCCTCGCCGCCAAAAAAGGTCACGTCGGAAAACAAGCCAGAGGAAAACAAAGAATCACCCTCACGGCCACCTACACTAAGCAAACCAATAACGAAAAGAGTGACCTTATCAGAGACATGTCCTTCGTCGGCAAAACCTGACAAGCCCCCTACATCAACCAAAAAGATTTCCGCACTAGCAAAGCCGTCCAAGCTGGACAAAATCTCCAAAATTGCAAAACCAGTCGCGCCTGAAAAGTCCCCTCCTCCCAAGGCGAAGAAGCCCGATACTTCGCCAAAAAAGGAAGAGCTGGTGAAGACCCTTCCTCGTCTCCGTACCTCTGGTAAAGTTTTGGAAATCGCTGAGCTAGATGGGCTTCAGGTTGCGAGTCCCAAAGAGTCTCTTCAGTCGAGTATCACAGACGTCTCTGCCGATTTAGGTGACCTGCGCTCCCAAGACAATGCTCATTCCGACGGCCAGGGACTCAACCCTTTGGCCCTTTCACTTCTTTTCAATATTCTTGTTGTTGCCGTCACTCAAGTGAATAAAGCTTTTCGAATGGGCACCGGTAGCCCTTACGTCAAATTTGTGGTCAATAACACACTGAACATGACCGGTCACTGCTGGCGTGTCTCCAAATGCATCTACACCGTGGTATCACGCTACCAGGCGACAGGCGCCTGGCCCAAGCCTCGCAATGACCAGGCGATCAGCCGGTTCATGGTGGAGCTTCTTCAAGCCATTGTGTATCTCTTGATCCTTGGGTCTGCTGCCATACTGATAGGCCGTACTGCTGGCTATGTCGTCCTCGTGACCAGTTGGATTATATGGTTTGCTAGGCCATTTGCGTGGGCCTTCCAATGTGTTGGCCGTGCCCTGATAATGTAAAATTAGCCCGTCCTTTAGCTGTACGCTTGTACAAGATTGTTTCTCTAGAAGTCCCTAGTTTGGTAGCGGGGTGTTCGTCGTTTATGGTGCTTTCGGTTCTTGGTCTTGGTCTCAAGCGGTTCTACCTACTCGCCTACCTACTCTCTTGCGACTGTATTTCTAGCTTATTATTAAATACGTCCCAGAAATTGGATATTCTACATGCAATCATTTATCCTTGTGTATGCCAATGTACGTAGTAGACAAGAACTTGGATTGATATTGATCTTGACCTGAAACCGAGACAAAAGCTGAAGGCCCTGAAACACACAGTGATGTGCCTCTCCCATGTTGAAGAGAGAAATAAAATAACATGCAACTTTTATCGTGTCCCCCGAAATCCAGAATTCAATCTTGTGTATGTTCTCTCTCTCTTTTGCTGTCAAAAAAACAAAAACAAAAAACAGACCCAACTCCGACATCCTGGTGTTGAATGGTCCTGTATGCTAGCCCCGGGATAATCTTGCAAAAGCAATGCAAAAACAGAGAAAAGATAGGAATTTAAACATAGAAAGTTCCTTTCTCAGAGGTTTTTCATGTCCGGATATGCGTTGAGCAATCCTTTTTTTCTAGTTCATGCGAACGAGATATCCACGCAGCCAGCTGAAACGGCGTTTTGTAAGATAAAAGCATTCAAGAAAAATCCGACAGAAGAGAAAAAGGAAAAAGGAAAAGGAGAGGGGAAAAAAGCAGGGTTGGGCTACCGTGGGCAGTTATAGCCGCCACTGCGTGAGCTCTATGAATTGAACAGAAACAAAACAAAGACGAGAAGGAATAAGCCGTTAAGGCAAGATTATGTTGAATTTTTGTTTTTCTTTCATTCTTTTGATTCCTCCATTCTTCTGGACTATTGTTCTGGACTGTACTAGACCAAACAGGAAAAATGACATAGTCCAGAAGAGAAGCACCGGGCCTGGAGAAGAATGGACCCGAGAAAATAAAAGAGAATCCGATCGATGAAGCGCCATTGTTAAAAGAGACGGGGTATCGGTACATTATGTTGAAATGAAAACGCTGAGGAAGAAATCGTTGAGAGGTCTTCAGTCGTGACGCCATAAGACATTGCAGGGGGAGCCCGAGATGTGTTGGAGTGGTTGTTTGTATGGGCTGTGTTATCGTTGAGATGAGTGATGTTGAATTAGGTATGTTGAGTTGGTGTTATGAGAGGTTTGCAAAGATGGCATACGACCGAGTAGGGGGTCGAGGGTGTGAATGGATATCAAACCAGTTTGTGAGTTGAGGGGAACTGGTTTAGTTGGCAGCAACGCCATTTTGTTCGGTGTGACCGTTGGTCAATGGCTTTTCGGGAACCTCGACCTCGGCGTTGAGCTCTTTGATCTCGAGTCCATCGAATAATTCGAACAGAGCATTGGATCTGTGGAAGTCGTTGTCGACGATATTGACGAGATACCAGTCGTCCATGACCTGCTGAATCAGCTTGCGACTAGGGCTGGCTGCGTCATGACACTTGGACCAGTGCTCGCCCAAGAGGTATGCCTCGTCCTTCCAGGCCAAGAAACTGACTGTCTCGACAATTGTGGGCTGAATGATCTCTCGTCCAGCGAAGATACCCCATGTCAGGGCATTCGGGCTGTCACGGGTGTTGGTCTTGAGCTCGCCCTTCTTGTTGGTGGCGTGGTAAGTCAAGTCATCGTTCTTCTCGATGCGAGTGATGAGCTCATCGATCAAGTTGGAGGGGACCAGAAGCTCAAGGTAGGCTTTCTGGTAGACGAAACCGTTCTTCGGGCCCCATCCGTACACAGGGTGAGACGACTTGATTCCGTTGACAGCGGGCTGGGAGTTGATTGTCAGGAACCCGCGCTGGTTTAGCTTGAGCAAGTCCTCCTGAATATCGTGGGCCTCGGTCGTGATTGGCGAGTCACTCCACGGCAGACGGTCAAGCTTGCCGGTCAAGAACTCAACAAAGACCTCGGATATATCCTTGATCGATTTAGGCTCGCCCCAAAGCTTGATGTTCTGTTCGTTCGTGCCCTTCAGGCCCACGCCGTAAGCGTCGAGTTCACCGAACGCAGGTGAACGAGAATCGGTCCAACGACCATTAGGGTACTCATCCCATGTCTGTGTGCGAGCAACATATGATGAGTTCCGGTTGCGCCAGAACACTGGTCGCACGTCCTCTGTCCTACGGCCGAGGCCAAGGGAGGGCCGCCAGGGCAGCGCGCGTTGAATAGGGGATTCATCCGACGGGGAAAGATCGAGCTCTTTGAGAACCAACTGAGTGGCCTGAGCCAGGTTCATGGTATAGCTAGGCAATTTGTCAGGACATGTCGGGATACCAGGATTGAGGGGTTAGCAAGGCAAACTCACAAATGCAGGTGCTTGATACCGGCAGCGATCAGCTGTCTGCACATATTGGCAATCAAAGTCTTTCCGATATCTCGAACGGCGGAATCGTCGTTCTTGACCGGCTCAAGGGCCTCCATCCATTGAGAAGGCACTTTGACCTTGGTCCAGTTGGATCGACGAATGAAAGATGCGTATGTCTGAATGGGCATGATACCGGGGATGATGGGGACAGTGATGCCCTTGGCTCGGCACTTTTTCAACCATTCGATGAAGTGATCTGCGTCGTAGAACATCTGAGTGACCACGAAAGAGCTGCCTGCATCAACCTTCTCCTTCAAGTGATCGATCAATTGGTCCACATCCGAGTTGTCATCGGCGCCCTCGGGATAGCCACCCACACCAATATCGAAGTGGTTGCCATATTTGTCCCGAATGTATTTGACTAGATCCTTTGCGTAGCAGAATCCATTCTCAGCGGCCTCCCATGTCTCCTTGTCTCGGGGTGGGTCTCCTCGAAGAGCCAGAATATTGGTGCAGCCAGCTTTGTAGGCAGCTTGGAGTGCTTGATCAACTTTCTCTAATGGCATATCTGTGCAAGTCAGGTGCATGCAAGTCTCTAAGCCATATACCGATTGTGCCACGCTGACCATCTCGCAAGTCAGATCCGATAAGCGACCGCCAGCACCCCAGGTGATGTCGATGAATGAAGGACCCAACCCATGCATGCGGTCCATTCGGTCATAAAGATTCTGTACACCCTGGGCGGTTTTGGGAGGGAAGAACTCGAAGGAGATTCCCGTCTTTCCCTCCGCCTCATTTTTGGCAAGCTTCTCCCGAATATGCATCGTGTCGGGTTAATCTAGTCCTTTGTAAGCATACCACGAAATTCTAACGAGCCATGAATTCCATCAAGGGTTGTTGCTCTTGAACAAACATACCTGAGGACAGTAATTAATTAGATTGTTTGTGGGACTGGAACACCTGTGCAGATGAGACTACTGTTGTCTGAGACCCTGAGCACAATCCCTGTGTACTTGTGACACTTAAATGTCCAGTACCTAGGAACAAAAATGGATAAAACACAAAAAAGAAATAAAAAGTGAATAAAAGAAAGAATTGTGAAGCTCGAAGACGAGTGAAGGAGAGGAATCGAGGATACCGGTGAGCGGAACATTTGGGGGGACAACATTTGGCGGGGAAGGCCGGCCATCGGAGGCACGTGTTTTGTTACTTTAAATGGGAATTAGGAGGAAATCAAGGGGAAAAAAGCAAGGGGGAAGAGTCTAATAAGGAAATAATAAGTGTTTCTTTCATTTTTAATACTTTTTCTACTGTAAAATGAGCACTAATGGTACTTTTATAAGGAAAATCAGATTCTCGTACCTACTATGGCGCAATACCAAGCCTATACCGCCTGCCCCTCCATGCGAAATAAAGTTCCGGCAAAATTTTCCCGTTTGACTTGGCGTTGGCCTTGACTCTTTTGCTTCTTTTGACCTTTGACAAACTTCCAATTCTCAAGCCAAAATGTCGACTGTTCCTCCCCCATCTGCCGATCAGGACTACAAGTCCACCCTTCTACCTCTCCTCATCTCCAACAAAGTTCTCTCATTCGGCACCTATGTCTTGAAGTCCGGCCGTGAATCACCCTACTTCTTCACCTCTTCCCTCCTGCACACTGCACCATTGCTGCGCGCCTCCTCTGCTGCCTATGCTAGCGTCCTCTCTGCCGAGCCTTTCGTCACCACCAACCCCGACGGCACCGCTCAGCCTAACTTCGACATTATCTTCGGACCCGCATACAAGGGTATCCCCATTTGCGCCTCTGTCACCAACGAGCTCGCCGTGCGGGACTCCCTATCTGGAAAGGCTACCTGGGACAATGTGAGCTACTCCTTCAACCGCAAGGAGGCCAAGTCCCATGGCGAGGGTGGAAACATTGTCGGTGCCCCGCTGAAGGGCAAGCGCGTCGTCATTGTGGACGATGTCATTACTGCTGGCACTGCACTCCGTGAGGCTGTCGGTATCATCGAGAAGGAAGGCGGTATCGTCGCTGGTGTCGTTGTCCTGCTGGATCGGGAGGAACGTGTCAGCGATACCGAGACCAAGAGCGCCATTGGCGTTGCCCAGCGTGATCTTGGTGGCAAGATCCCCATCCGGTCAGTCCTTGGTCTCCACGACCTGATTGAGAAGTTGGGTGATAGCATTGGCGCTGGTGAGATCCAGCGCTTGAAGGATTACCGTGAGCGCTACGGTGCCCAATAGACATCGGATTGTGGAATCCGCCAAATCAAGGCATGATGTATGAGAAAAAAACAACAGGACGGATACCAGGATATTTTGAAGCCCTGAAAATATAATTACTTAAACATTGCCCATATCCAAATCAGGATGGGCACATTCCTATATGGACTATTTGACTTGTCCTCGATAATTGATGCTACCACATACTCTAGACTAGCTAGCAGATAGGTTGCCCATTTGCCCATCAAAACATGATGTAATGGGCAGGCAAATTGACTTGCCTTTTTGCTTTGGCGTCGTGAAGGTTCCCGGCAAACCGGTGATACCAGTGCTCCATCCGAGATGTTCAATGTTCCCATTGATATATACTCCAATCGGGAAACATGGAGCTGTGTGTGCCAGCTCCCCGATCTTCAATCTTGCTAATTATATAGCTGAGCATATCGATAGGTAAGTTTCTTACTCTCTAAATACTCTTCTCTATCTATGTTGCATTTCAACACACCCCTGGACCGACTGGTTCCACTCGGACGCCGGAACCCCTGTGAGCAAGACAATGTTTTACATGAGCTCGAAGGAATAGATCGTCTGGATTCAAGTATCTCGACACGCCAATAATGGTGCTCGATATTGCGCGGCAAGCGACACACAGCACGGCAGATGCTACCAGTGCTAGGTTGTGTTTGACGCCGCGCACCCAAAATGCAATACAAGTATCCCATTCAGAACGAATTGGGCAGTCTATATATGTAGAGGGATGTATAGCTCAGATCCCACGCTCAGGCAATATGTATCTACCAAGTTCATCACTTGATCAGTACATGGTGGGACATACATTGACACGGTGCACTGTAATTCCAATAAATCTCAAATGAAATGAATAAGACGTTTGTTCTACGCTACGGTCTATAACAATATGGAAATCAATCAGCCGGTACATATATGTGTTTGTAAGTTATTTTTCCCAATGATGAGAAATACATACTGGATTTGATCTGAAATCTCTAAAAATAGTCAGAATTAGCTATGCAGCCTTCCAAGGTATCCCCAGTTTCTATGTAGGTGGAACATCTAGTCGGTCCCTAATACGGCATCTTCCGGGGATATCCTAATGGCTGCCTGGGTTTCACAAAGAGTAACAGCACGGCTCCGGGGGTAAAATTCGTTTATTTTAGACTCATTATAGATCAGTAAGCAATTATAGCTTAAGATCTTTCTCCACATGGCTCGATTTTTATTCGAGTGGTAGAAGCCGTTTAGAACTTAGCAACGTCGGCGCCTTAACTAATCGGTAATTTCATGTTGAAAAGCCGATAGAAGCATGACTGTTATATATCTCTATAGAGCACAGTCCTCTCTCAATGGCATTTTCACAACTTGCAAGACAAGGGAAATTAATATCCCAGCTCTCAGCCACATGATATTAGTCTCTTCAAGGCAACCATCTTGCCTCTGAAACAAACTGATAAATTTAGAACGTGATTTAAAAAGGGATTTCTTAGGAAACCAAGACTAATCAGAACGTCTTTTGGTATCTAACTAGAAGATTTAGGACCATTGCATGCCAGGTCTTAGGACGTGTTGGAGTATCTTTATATTCTATCCTACTCGATGTTTATAGAAAGTGGAATGGTCCAGGAGAAGTGAAATATGTTTATTTTATAAAAGCTCACCATGTTGTTCCATCCTGTACCCCATCGGTTAATACGCCATGAGATTCATCGATGTGGTGGGTGAATACACATAAACCCATGACCGTCTTCGCACAGTGAATCACAGGTGACATGGTGCTACCTCTGTGCTCTTTGACTATTTATGTATACTACGTAGGAATATGAGTATGTGTCCCTATCCAGCATCACATGGCATCTTCCAATTAACCAGATCGCAATCAGCCACTAGATTGTCTCAAATTCTGTTATGGGGCGTGACATACTACTTGAAATGTTGGCACATCAGTAGATGTATCCATGATGAACACAGTTAATGACTCCGTCAAACATATATATTGCTTGAACTTCCATCCTCCCACGAACAGCTAGGATAGCTCGATTAATGGACGCCCAATTCTAGAACTACCGGTGATCCCGGTTTCTACGATGGCCGTCAGGTTACATTTGGAAAATGCAGCACATGTAGTCATATTTTCTTGTTTAGAATGTACACTATACGGGTAGACAGGGTTTCGGGAGTTTGAACGGTCAAGATCTACGGGCAGTGACTTGGACTCCCGTTAAAGCGACTCAGCCTTCGCGTCTAGGATAAAATATCGCCAGCAACAACAGTTAGCAGTCTATATAAATTAGTACAGAGTGCAGAGTACAGAGAGGCTCGGATACTGTATACTTATGTACTCCATACCCCCATGCAGGCTGAATAACAACTTTGCAAATGTACACCTACCCCAATAGGAAATAAAGATATCTTGCTTTTGTATGCATTCACCACCGAGGCTAGCTTTTATTTCTCTGACAGCCACCACTTTAGAGTTCGTGCGCGTTAGACGGCAGTTCTGCTGCAACTGTTGTCTCTATCATTCATACATACATACAAGAGCCTAGAGGTAATAATCGAGACCGCGTCGGTGGCTCAATGTCAATGATATATGGCTTGGATATGGGCTCGAATGGAGTACTTTGGCAAGGAAAATAGTCTAGTTTGCCTACGTTGAAGTTTCAATTGGGCTAATATAAAACTGTGTGTGTACTCCGCACTGCTCGGACTCCCGCTATTTTGGACAACTTCCGTAAGGTAGTCTCACCGAATTGCCGTGATACCAGCAATGCATGGATTGCTAGATTAGCTTTGTCGAGCCACGGTAATTCCACGACCGCCGTCCCATGCAAAGAGCTATGGTTATTGTTTGAAACCCAAGGGATGGTGACGCCTCGTAAGACACAGATCTTCGCCGCCTGAGTCCCATGGTCTCTGTAAATAGCACACAACCGTAATTAACATGTCAATCAACGCGCGGACAGAGCTCGGTGTACTTGCATCTCTTTGTCTCCTATCAGCTGCGTCTTCGGCTATGACCGTTCATTCCGAGCTTCAAAGGGAGTTGTCGATGTAGCTCATGCCTAGTCTTAGGAACCGGAAAGAACATCAGAAGACTTTCTTAGAAGAAGTAGACCGTGGGGTATCATGCTCTCTTTGAACCACGTTGAGTGATTTTACCACAACTGGTAGTGGTCTATTATCTCTTAAACATTTCCAGTCTTCTCTTATTTCTATTAACCATTCCGCAGTCTTGATTTCCTTTCTTTCTCCCCTTTTCTACCTAGGAGCGCTCCCATAGATTGGAGGACTATTGGTCATATTCTACTTGGAGGAAAATGCTTTAAGTCCCTCGTTGATTTTAGTCCTTTTTACTCGTCATCGATACACCACACTTTCACAGCCCCTGTGACTTTCCGAGAAAGCAAACTGTTGGATCATATCTGCCCTGTTAGTATCTTCCCCTTCCGGAGTACCTGGGCGAGAAGACCTGATTCGCTATTGGTACCAGTCGGGTACATGGGCGCCGCTCTCACATTCTTCTGAAGAAATAACAAACCTGCTAACAGAGAACGGTGAAACATAGTAGCTGTTTCTCGGAAGCTCCAGTCGGATCAACAGTCTTCGTCTCGCTCTTCTACGTCTATATTCGACACATGCTACGATCCTAGGTTTCTCTGAGGCGGCTTACTACATTGTTTGTCGACCATGAATTGGAGATATACAATCCCAGTGCTTGCTCTTCTTGCAGCTCCAGGAATCAGTTGGCCTTACGACGAGACTCTCACTTCTTATAACATCAATGAGAATCAAACAGCAACCAACCCTTTGGACTACTGGGGAGAATGGCCGGACCACACCTACTTTCCTTCTCCAGAAAATTGGCGTTTTCCTGTATATACGCTTTTCCTTGACCGATTTGTGAATGGCGATCCAACAAACGACAATATAAATGGGACACTCTTTGAACATGATATTAATTCAAATCAAATGCGACATGGAGGTGATGTGGCTGGCCTGCTGGACACTTTGGACTATTTACAAGGAATGGGCATCAAGGTTAGTTTCATGAATTGGCCTTGAGGGCATAATCTGATATTAACCAAAGATTGAACTTCTAGGGACTCTACCTTGCAGGTTTGGTATTGATGAACCAGCCATGGGGATCTGATGGCTACTCGGCGCTTGACACAACTTTACTCGACCAGCATTTTGGGACAATTCAAACATGGAGAGCAGCTATTACGGAGATTCACAACCGCGGCATGTATGTTATTTTTGACAACACTGTCTCAACGTAAGTCATCGAGTCCAGCCATTTTCTCTTATCGCGTCACAAGCATCTAACAGCACTAGCATGGGAGACCTCATTGGATTTGAAGGGTACATGAACACAACCACCCCATTTTCAGTCAAAGAGCACAGGGCTTCCTGGAAATCGAATCGTCAATATGTTGACTTCCGGTATGGCAACACTTACAACGATACATGTGAATATCCTCGCTTCTGGAATGAGACCGGATACCCCGTGGATGAGTATGTCGATTACGAGCTACGCGGGTGCTACGATAGTGATTTTGATCAATATGGTGATATCGAGGCTTTCGGAGTCTACCCTGACTGGAAACGAGAGCTCGCTAAATTTGCTTCCGTGCAAGATCGGTTGCGTGAATGGGTGCCTAGCGTCAGAGAGAGACTTATTCGTCATTCGTGTATGATCATCGCATCTTTTGACATTGACGGCTTTCGCTACGACAAAGCTACACAAGCCACCGTCGATGCTCTTGGGGATATCTCCGGGGCGTATCGAGACTGTGCTCGCCGCGTGGGAAAAGACAACTTTTTCCTTCCGGGTGAGATTACAAGCGGAAACACTCTTGGCTCTATCTTTCACGGGCGAGGACGTCAGCCCGATATGCAGTCCCAATCGCTCGAGGAGGCGTTTATGATGACGAATTCATCTGATCCAGATTACTTTATTCGTGACCAGAACAAGCAGGCGACCGATGCTGCTGCATTTCACTACTCCATCTATCGCTCTCTCACTCGGTTCTTGGGTATGGATGGTAACTTGGCTGCTGGATACGACATTCCAGTCAATTGGACGGAGGCCTGGTATCAAATGGTCCTCACCAATGACCTGGTCAATGCCAACACTGGCAAATTTGATCCTCGCCATATGTATGGAGCGACAAACCAGGATGTGTTCCGATGGCCAGCCGTTGAATATGGCATTGAAAGGCAACTTCTGGCTCTTTTTATCACAACACTGCACATGCCCGGCATTCCTATGCTTCTATGGGGCGAGGAACAAGCATTCTATATTTTAGATGCTTCAGCTGCTAACTATATCTATGGCCGCCAAGCTATGTCTCCTGCCACAGCTTGGAAAAATCACGGATGCTTCCAGTTGAATTCAACTCAATATTTCCAGTGGCCTATCAAGTCAGGACGCTTGGGATGCCACGATGAGACAGTGACATATGACCACCGTGATCCCGCTCATCCCATCCGGAATATTATCAAACACATGTATCAAATGCGACAGGACTTTGGTGCTCTCAATGACGGATGGTGGATTCAGCAACTCTCAAACCAAACCCACAACATATATCTCCCGGGCTCTAACGGAGTCCCCACGGAAACTGGGATGTGGTCTGTCTTGCGCAGTCCATATTACCAACTGCAGGATCTGGGAGACATGGGCAACCAAACGGTCTGGTTTGTATACCAGAATGACAATCGAACGGTGAACTATGAATTCGACTGTTCTGACCCAGATGTGGCATTAATTGCTCCATTCGACATAAACACCACGGTGAAGAATCTGTTCTATCCCCACGATGAGTTGACATTGCAAGAGGGTCCAGTCAAACTTGCTTTGAATGGCTCCGACAAGAACAATGGTTGTCTTAACAGTATGAAGCTCCAACCATACGAATTTAGAGCCTATATCCCCAAAGATAAATTCGTCCCTCCTCGCCCTATGATAACGAAGTTCTTACCTGGTCACGATGCTCCATTGCTATCTGCTGTCGCACTGAATGAAATTGAATCAGTGGATATCGGTCTCTTCTTTTCCACAGAGATGAATTGCTCTGTGGTAACTGAGTCAATATCAATCGAATCGTCGACTGAAAGTGGAGAATCGCCTTCTGTGGACCCTGACAGTGTCAGTTGTGGAACTATCGACCCAGAGAGTACATCTTGGACCGGCCAAATCCCATCTACCTGGTCTTGGACAGCTACTCTGACCGGTGTCTACAATGGCGTGCACAAATTGACGGTGAACAATGCGACAAGTACTGACGGAAGAACAACGAACGCCATCGACCATTTCCTGATCCGAGTCGGACAGTATGATAATCCCATGATCTTTGCCGCAGCAAATTACTCCAGCAGCTTGCTTCACGGGCGCGATGATGGTACTCTTTTCATTGCACAACATGCAGCAGGAGCAGACAAATATCGGTACTCCACCAACTGGGGCAGTACTTTCACTGAATGGCTCCCATACAAGGGAGGAAATCACAGCATTAAAGAACTGCCTTGGTCTGGAACGAAGAAACAGAGATGGAATGGGAAACATATTCGGGTTGAATACTGGAGTCGCCTCACAGGGAGTAGCGACTACGTCCAAGAGGGCGACGGACCAGGCTGGAGGCCTGCTATCAGGCGTCGCTTCCCTCATCTATTTTTCAATGGTCCTTTCAATAGGTTCGGATATGATGCCGGCCTAGATAACGTCGTTAAACAAGATACCGACGGCCTCTGGAAATTCCGCTTTCTAGCTGAATGGCCTGCCCAGGGTCAGTTGAATGTCTGGGGTATGAATCCCGATCATCAACCGGACCAAAGCTACATCTACGGAGATTCAGACGGAGACTCCATACTAGACCGTCTACCACCCTCTTCGCTCAGTGTGACCACCATAAACATCACTCAGCATCCACCGAACCCGCATGTCGCTTGGAGGATTCAACTCGATGACTCAAATTTGCAATTTAAGCTTGTCCCTACAGGCTCCAAATACGTTCAAATGGCTCTCTTTTTCATTCTTTGGATTGTTCCCATCATTACAGCCTCAGCCTGCGCCTACGTGTTCATAAAAACATTCTACCGAATCAAGTTCAACCAAATCGGTGTTAGTGAGAAAAAGACGCTCATTTCAATGCATTTCATCAATCAATTCAAGACCGGTCATGTGGAAGATGGACAGTCCAGAAACCCCTTCAGACGCCGTACAAGCAAGTCAAAATTTCTGCAAAGCACATCTGCTTTTGGCAATCGGACTACCCGCCGACGAAAGGTCCTCATTGCAACCATGGAATATGAGATCGACGACTGGGCTATCAAGATAAAAATTGGTGGCTTGGGTGTTATGGCGCAGTTGATGGGCAAACAGCTCGGACATCAAGAACTTGTCTGGGTTGTTCCCTGTGTCGGTGGAGTGAAGTATCCCGTTGATAAACAAGCAGATTCAATGTTTGTCATAATCTTAGGGAATTCGTACGAAATCAAGATTCAGTACCACCAGCTGAGGAACATCACATATGTTTTGCTAGATGCCCCCGTTTTCCGCCAGCAATCTGCCACGGAGCCCTACCCTGCCCGAATGGACGACCTCGACAGCGCCATCTACTACTCTGCCTGGAACCAATGCATTGCACAGGCACTGAAACGCTTCCCCGTTGATATGTACCACGTCAATGACTATCACGGCTCAGTGGCTCCGTTATATCTTTTGCCTCAGACTATTCCTATTTGCTTATCACTTCACAACGCCGAATTTCAAGGCCTATGGCCTATGCGGACACAGAAAGAGAAAACCGAAGTCTGTTCTGTCTTCAACCTTAATTTGGACGTTGTAACACGCTATGTTCAGTTCGGCGAAATCTTCAATCTTCTTCATGCCGGTGCGAGCTATCTTCGTCTTCATCAACAAGGCTTCGGTGCTGTTGGTGTGTCAAAAAAGTATGGCAAGCGGTCGTATGCTCGATATCCAATTTTTTGGGGCTTAAGAAAAGTTGGACACCTACCGAATCCCGACCCCTCCGATACAGGCGAGTGGAATAAATCCTTGCCTAAGGAGAGCGATGTTTATATCGACAAGGACTTCGAGATTCGTAGAGCAGGGCTAAAGCTTCAAGCTCAAGAATGGGCTGGTCTCAAGCAAAGAGCCGACGCTGAGCTATTAGTCTTTGTTGGAAGATGGTCTATGCAAAAAGGTATCGACTTGATCGCGGATGTCTTACCTGGCGTGTTAGAGAGTCGAGAAAATGTCCAGCTAATTTGCATCGGACCCCTCATTGATCTATATGGCAAATTCGCCGCGTTGAAACTGGACCGAATGATGAAGCTTTACCCTGGCCGGGTGTGCTCCAAACCTCATTTCACGGTCCTACCACACTTTATCTTCTCTGGCGCAGATTTTGCCCTGATTCCGTCACGCGATGAACCCTTTGGCCTGGTCGCTGTCGAATTTGGTCGCAAGGGTGCCCTTGGCATTGGGGCGAGAGTAGGGGGACTTGGACAGATGCCTGGCTGGTGGTATACGGTTGAGTCCACGACTACCTCCCACCTGTTAAAGCAGTTCAAATTGGCCATCGACAGTGCGTTAAACTCCAAGTACGAGGTGAGGGCGATGATGCGCGCAAGGTCTGCCAAGCAACGATTCCCAGTCGCCCAGTGGGTCGAAGATCTTGAGATCTTACAGTCCACATCGATTCGAGTCCATCAAAAGGAGCGAACTAAGTCACATAGCCACTCTGCCGCTGCTGGTGCATATAATGCCATCTATGGTATGATGACGCCGCAGGCTGCATCAACAAGATCGGGCGCATCCACACCCCCATTACAACCCTCAAGTCGCCCGGGTACTACGGGATCAATACAACGAAGTTCTATAATATACAGTCATGAAGCAAGCCCTGGGTTTGAGGAGAGACCTAGGTCGGGACTCAGTCGCCAGATGTCTTTTACTCTTCGGCCGGTATCTGGCACCGTGGAGCCTCGTAGTCGACGAGAGCTCGGGAAAGGAAGTGATGACAGTGTCGGTAGAGCCTCTCCAGAGGCCGAAGAAGATAGCGACGATGAAATGATGGCCACTTGCTACGGCGATGATGATTATTCTATGTCACCTGAAGGGGCAGTCTCAGGGAGAGCGCAAATTCCCCAGCCTGCAGGTGTGGCCCTCACCAAAGAGGCTCTCTCGGCCCAACGCGCGAGTCAAAACTCCCTGTTGGCTCGATGCACCAATACGCCCTGTAGTTCAGCGGCGCCGAGTACTGTCGGGACAGATGAAACCCTTGCTCCTCCATCTCGCCCATGGGCAGAGCCAGCAAACCGTCTCAGTAATGCCTCAGTATTGTCTGTCGATTCGGTTGTTGGAGAAAAGAAAGACTTCAAACTTCAAAAAGTCGACCCATTCTTCACCGACAGCAGTGGCGAGTACTATAGGGTCTTTGAGAAAAAACTCGAGGAACTCAATGGAGCGAACTCAGACACCCAACTATGCATTGAGAAATACCTCGAGAAAAGCGAAAAAAAATGGTTCAACAAATTCCGTGATGCACGCCTTGGCCTCAATCAAGGATCCCCAGCTGGCTCAGTGCATCAGGGCAAACAAGGAACATCCCCGGCTGGATCAATTACCAACGACGACGCGACATCCCATGAAAGTGGTGAGCGCGAGAGAAAAGATGCCCAGCCGGACGAGTTCCTGCTTGGTGATGACTACGTGCCACCCACCGGGTTGAAGAAATGGATGCAAATGCGCATCGGAGACTGGCCGGTGTATTCTCTCTTCCTCGGACTAGGCCAGATCATTGCTGCAAATTCCTACCAGATTACCCTTCTCGCCGGAGAGGTCGGTCAGACCGCTACGAAACTATACGGAATCGCGACAGTCTACCTTGTCACATCTGTTCTATGGTGGCTTTTCTTTCGATACTGCAAATCGGTGCTCGTTCTGAGTGTGCCATGGTTCCTATACGGAATGGCTTTTTTGATCATCGGAATGGCACACTTTGAGCCCAATCCACACACTCGCGGATGGATTCAAAACGTTGGAAGTAGTATGTATGCTGCTGCATCATCGAGCGGTTCTATCTTCTTTGCCCTCAATTTTGGCGATGAAAGTGGTGCACCGGTCAAGCAGTGGGTGTTCCGTGCTTGTCTTATACAGGGCACGCAGCAAGTCTATGTCATTGCTCTTTGGTACTGGGGTTCGACTTTGACTAAAGCTACCAATGCGGGAATTATGGATGTGCAGGCCAGAATCACTAACACCTGGCGGATGACGTGCGTATAACATCGAAATCTTTATTTGAAAGATGAGAGACTTGCTAACTATTGTTATAGAGCAATATGTGCACCAATCACCCTTCTTCTGTGGGCAATTGGCTTCATCGTCTATTTCGGCTTGCCCAACTACTATCGCCAAACTCCTGGCAAAGTTCCCTCATTCTACAAATCCGTCTTCCGGCGCAAGATTGTACTTTGGAACTGGGTGGTCGTCATTATCCAAAACTTCTTTTTGAGTGCCCCATATGGTCGAAACTGGAATTGTGAGTCTCCATTTCCCAGTCGGTTCCTACTACCCCTTCTTCCTATGCCTAGGACTACACTAATGGTTAAAACAGTCCTCTGGATTAGCCAGCACGCCAGCTCATGGCAAATCCTACTTCTCTGTGTTGCATTCTTTGGCTTTGCCTGGATAGCAATTCTCTTCCTACTGGCTCGACTATCCAAGTCCCATAGTTGGATCCTTCCAGTTCTCGCATGTGGTCTGGGAGCTCCACGTTGGGCCCAAATCTGGTGGGGTACATCTGGTTCAGGCCTGTTCCTTCCCTGGGCTGGAAGTTATACCTCGGGAGCTCTTATATCCCGCAGTCTTTGGCTCTGGCTTGGGGTCTTGGATGCATTACAAGGTCTCGGGTTTGGGATGATTCTGCTGCAAACACTGACACGTATGCATATCTGCTTCACCCTTCTGGCGGCACAGGTCCTGGGCTCTCTGGCGACTATTTGCGCAAGAGCCTTTGCACCAAACAACATTGGACCAGGGCCTATCTCGCCGGATATCACGGCTGGTGTGGGGGCGTTGGCTAACGCTTGGTTTTGGGTTGCTCTTTTATTGCAGCTCTCGATCTGGTATGTGTTCCCTTATAAGCAGGTTATTATGGATACCGTCTAACGTTTAATTCAAGTGGTGGCTTTCTTCTTTTCTTCCGAAGGGAGCAATTATCGAAGCCCTGAACAAATGTGGATTATGCTGGAAGTGGGTGGAATGGGTTGGTGATTCACTGGGATTGTAGTCTTTTCGAATTTCTTTGCGTACACTGATATCATTGCTTGTTTGTTGTGGCTTGTTTGTTGTCAAACAGAAACAGCCCTTAGTGTCTAATATAATGATATAATATCAGTTGACAAGCAACAGGCCAGATCTTACACATACCCAGTATTTCAAGTTTGGCAAAACAGCGTAAGACCTATAGAAATCGTCGTATCTATCACAATCCAATTTTCGGGTAAATCTCCACGCGAAATCGGTGTATATATCCCTTGCTTCGCGGTATTGACCATGAATAAGCACCTCGAAAGAATTATCCGCTCATCAACATGGCGACCAAGATGGCATTCAATAGCTCGGCCGACGAGGATGTCGCTCTTGAGAACATGGGGTACCAGCAAGAATTCAAACGATCGTTTAGTTTGTTGGATATGGTGGGCTTCAGTTTCAGTATTGTGACCTGGTGAAAATTTCCCTCGAGCCGAGCACAAGATTCATGTCTAATACCGAACAGCTGGACAGCCTTGAGCGGCGTCTTCATCATTGGCATCCAGGCAGGTGGCCCACCTGTCATGATTTTCGGCTGGATGGGGGTCTGTTTGGTCACCATGCTCATTGCCCTGGCAATGGCCGAGATGTGTTCGCGCTGGCCAGTAGCTGGAGGCCAATACTCATGGGTGGCCATGTTAGCACCGCCTCGTGTTTCCCGACAGTTATCATATATAACCGGGTGGTTTATGCTGGCCGGTTCGTAGCCCTCGACATTTGGTGGATGCTTGCTGATATGTTTGCTAGGACTTATTGCCATGGGTGCGGTCAATAATTCCTTGGGATCTAATTATATCCTAGGTCAAGTCAACCTGGTCTTCCCAGACTTCGTTATCGAGCGGTGGCACACCGTCCTGGTTGCCTGGGCCGTGGGGCTATTCTCACTCGCCATCAATGTATTCGCGCCGCACGCTCTGCATCGTCTATCCCGCTTCATCTTGGTGTGGAACATCACCTCGTTCATCACTGTGATCATCACACTATTGGCAACAAACCACCAGAAGCGAGATACAGACTTTGTCTTCCACGAGTTCCGGAATATGACCGGCTTTGGTGCTTCGATGGCCACTATTATTGGGATTCTGCAAAGCTTTTTCAGCATGTGCTGCTACGATGCACCGAGTCATATGACAGAAGAGATGACCCACGCCAGTCGAGATGCACCGAGGGCAATTATCATGACGGTCATCATGGGGGCTGTAACTGGACTGCTCTTCCTCCTGACACTGTGCTTTTGCATGGGTAATATCGAATCAACAGCCAATTCAAGCACCGGGGTTCCCGTCATCCAGATCTTCTACGACTCAACCCAAAGCAAAGTCGGGACCTGCATTCTAGCGAGTATGATCACCGTCATCATCATGATGTCGTCCATCGGTCTCGCCGCTGAGGGATCACGATCAGTATATGCCTTTGCGCGAGACCGTGGGCTTCCATTTTCGGGCTTGTGGTCTCAAGTCGAGCCGAGGAAGAAGATACCTCTCTATGCCATTTTTCTCACTGTGGGAGTGCAGCTAGGCTTGAATGCGATCTACTTCGGTACGGAGACGGGGTTTGAAACGGTGATTTCGATAGCTACCACGGGCTTCTGTACGTTGACATATTCGACTCCAGATGAGTCTTGCGCAGCTAATATGAACTCTATTTAGACGTTTCCTACAGTCTTGTCCTTTTTTCCAGACTACTTGGCTATTTCTTCCGTCACCAATCTCCCTCATTCGACGGGCCATATTCATTGCCGCTTCCAATGTCACTCGGTTTCAGTGCGATTGGCCTGCTATTTCTGCTATTCGCTTCTATTACATTTAATTTCCCCTCTGGTGCTCCAGTCACCTCGGAATCGATGAATTATACCAGTGCAGCTATCGGTCTGCTGACATTGCTCAGCCTGGTGACCTGGTTTACTACTGCAACAAGTCATTTTGCGGGGCCTTCTGATGTCAGACATTTGGTTGTCGATGGCGTAGAAAGCCCACCGACATTGCAGCCCGCGGATGATCTTAGACTGAGAACAAGCAAGGGAGAATAATGGTTACGATATTGTTCATGGAGAGATATGTATAGCCTAGATTGGTACACGTACCTGGCCAACACAATAGAATATATAGCGAGGAATACAAGAACTTGTTATATAAAACTACAAATACAAATCCACGATCATAATTCATTCTCGTTGAAATTCGTAGGCTATCCAAATTATAAAATAGCCCATGATTAACCCAAGTAAAACAAAACACAAATAGTAGCTGCAACAAGTAGGGGAATATGATTTTAAAATCCAAACGTGACAGGAAAATGAATTGGTGGCAACGACCAACTCAAGCACTTGAAAAACACATACAACATTTACCACTCAAGAGGCTCGTTCTTCACATCGCCACGGTTGGTCTTGGGAACGGGAGCAGCCTCAACCATAGTCGCGCCACGGCGGTCACGGCGAAGGTAAGCACTGCCATCCAACCAGGGGGTCTCAAGGGTGCGCTTGGACTCGAAAGTGCGGATCTTGGACTCCATCTGGAGAGTAAGGCCAATATCATCGAGACCGTTGACAAGGCAGTGCTTGCGGAATTCTTCGACCTCGAAGGAAGTGATCTTGTTACCCTCGGCATCCTTGATCTCCTGGTTGACAAGATCAACCTCGACCTCGCGGCCGGCACGGGCCTCATCAGTGATCTTCCGCAGAGCAGCCTCATCAGAGACAACGACGGGAAGCATGCCGTTCTTAAAGGTGTTGTTGAAGAAAATATCGGCGAAGGAGGGGGCGATGATGCACTTGATACCGAAGTCGAGCAAGGCCCAGGGGGCATGCTCACGGGAGCTACCGCATCCGAAGTTGGGGCCAGTAACAACCAGGATCTTGGAGTCGCGGTAAATTCCCTGGTTCAGGACGAAGTCTGGGTTCTCCTTGTCGTCGGTGTAACGGAGCTCATAGAACAGCGCGCTACCGAGACCTGTGCGCTTGATGGTCTTGAGGAATTGCTTGGGGATAATGGCATCGGTGTCGACGTTGGCGCGATCCAACGGCGCGGCAATACCCTTCAGGGTGGTGAAAGGGGGAAGACCGGTGCTCTTGCCACCGCTAGCAGGGGCTGAAGAGTTGGCGTGGGGCTCGTTGTCGGCAGGGAAGTCTAGAACGCGGTCGAGTTCCTCCTCGGTCTCAGGGGACTCGAACTTGGGCTGCTGGACATCAATCTTGGGGGAGGCCTTGCCAAGGACGGGGCTGGCAACGACGTGCTCACGAACATCAGCGAGCTTGCCGACGATGGCAGCAGTGGCAGCCATGGCGGGGGACATGAGGTGGGTACGGCCCTGGGCGCCCTGGCGACCCTCGAAGTTACGGTTGGAGGTACTGGCACAGCGCTCCTTCGGTGACAGGATATCTGGGTTCATACCCAGGCACATGGAGCAGCCAGCCTCACGCCATTCGAAACCAGCATCAGTGAAGATCTTGTCGAGACCCTCAGACTCAGCCTGCTCCTTGACTAGACCAGATCCAGGGACGATCATAGCGCGCTTGATGTTGGATGCAATCTTACGGCCATTGACCACCTTGGCTGCGGCACGCAGATCCTCAATACGGGCGTTTGTGCAAGATCCAATGAAGACCTTGTCAACCACAACATCCTTCATGGGCGTACCAGGGACAAGACCCATATACTCGAGAGCACGCTTGCAAGAGGTCTTGCGGTTCTCATCCTCGAAGTCATCAGGGCCAGGGACAACACCAGTGATGGGGATCACGTCCTGGGGAGAGGTACCCCATGAGATGGTGGGGATGATATCCTTGCCGTCAAGGAAGACCTCGCTATCGTACTTAGCTCCAGCGTCCGACTTCAGGCTGGACCAGTAGCTGGTGGCCTTGTTCCACTCTGCGCTACCGTACTTGGGGGCGAGAGGACGGCCCTTGAGGTATTCGAAGGTGATCTCGTCGGGTGCAATCATACCGGCACGCGCACCACCCTCAATGGACATGTTGCACATAGACATACGGGCCTCCATGCTCAGTCCACGGATGACGGATCCGCAGAACTCAATAACAGCACCATTACCACCAGCTGTGCCAATGACACCGATAATGTGGAGAACGACGTCCTTGCTAGTGACGCCAGCGGGCAGCTCGCCATCAACCTGGATGCGCATGTTCTTGCTGCGACGGGTAATGAGGGTCTGGGTTGCGAGGACGTGCTCGACTTCACTGGTTCCGATACCGAATGCAAGGGCACCGAAAGCACCGTGTGTGGAGGTGTGGCTGTCACCGCAGACGACAGTCGTGCCGGGCAGAGTGAAACCCTGCTCTGGGCCAATAATGTGGACAATACCTTGGCGCTTGTCGCCCATACCGAAATATGTGAGGCCAAAGTCCTTCACGTTTTGCTCCAGTGTTGTGCATTGGAGACGCGAATCAGTCTCCTTGATGAAGTCCGTGGCATTCTTGAAATTCTTTCGTGAAGTGGTAGGGATGTTCTATCCGAAGAAAACATTTCAATTAGTCGTGGGCTACCAATGGATATAAGATTTAACATACGTGATCAACTGTAGCCAGAGTGCAGTCCGGCCGGCGGACTGTGCGGCTGGCGTTCTTGAGGCCCTCGAAGGCCTGTGGAGATGTGACCTCGTGAACAAGGTGTCGGTCAATGTAGATCAAGCAAGTGCCATCTTCTTGCTCATTGACGATGTGATCGTGAAAGACCTTGTCATACAAGGTCTTGGGTTTTGACTCGGCGGAAGGCATAGTGGGGGGATAAAAAGCAGCTAGGAAGAGAGGATAGGAGAAGACAAGATTGAGGATGAGAGACAGAAGAGATAATAAGTGAGAGCTCCGAAGAAGAGTAATATAATAGTAAGTACCGAGATCTGGGGGAACTGGAGTGGCAATGCCTGTTATATTTTTCTGCTCTGTAGCATCCGCGATGTCGCTGGGAAGCTTCTCGAGGGGCAGGGCCGATCTCGGCCGGTCAGCGGCGAATATTAAGAATTTTATTGGCCGAAGGGGTGACTCAGCGGATGACCGATATCGGTCGGCGCTAGATGATCCAAAAAAGGGAAGGCGGCTATCGACGCTTTATGACGGAGCCCGTAGGAGTCCCGTAGACCGCTCCGGACCAAAGTAATGGGAAGACGTTGATTGGCTGTACCTTCCTAGGTTCCGCCTCCGATCGGCCCGCCATTTTTTGACTCAACGCTTGGATGCTTAGCACCTGTGGCAGCGAAAACGGTGTTGTGTAGTACATAAAGCCCTAAGTGGATAGGATATGGGGAACCTCAATGTACTCACTATATTAGTGTCAGCTTTGGGAATTCATGTGAGGCACATGTGTTCTCGGCAAATCTGTCAAATTTTGAAGTTGTTCCATGGTCTAAAATTCAATCTACCAAAGTCATATACCGAAACGCCAATGCCCGTGTCTCTAAAGCAAAATGTCATGAAGTGTAGGAAGAAAGCACGGAACCCTCCGTAGGCTACCGAGGTGAAGCGCCCAGATCGACCACGATCCTCTTTCCAGACACTGAACCACTCCGCAACGTCTCGAGTGCCGCATTAATACCCTCAAACCCGCCCTCTGCATGAACAATCTCTGGCAATGTAAGATTCGTCGATTGCAGAAGATCTTCCAACCAACACACCATAGCTTCACCCACTGTAGGAGCGCTATGGAAGAGCTTAATGGGCACAGTGTGATATTGTATCCCCGGGTTCTTCTCTTTAGGTAGACCAGTTAATCCAAGGAGATGGGCGTGGCCATCAGGATTAAGAGCCTTTTCAAGCTGTGTTGCGGTCTCTCTTCCGACTATATCAATGGCATATCGCAATTTGCCCTCGGTGACACCGCGGATAATTTCCACTGCACGATCAGGGTCATGTCGATCAACTAGCAGATCTGCACCGGACTGCACAAGTTTGGCACCATGCCGTGCTGCATCGGCTACACAAATCACGCGTAAACCGGCGAGTTTGGCCAGTTGAAGCGTTATCAGACCAGTAGTTGTTGAGGCTGCAATATGAATGTCAGTGATCAGTTCACAGAAATGGAGACACCGGTTGTCTTACCTCCCCAGATAGCTACCCAGTCTCCACGTTGTGGCTTTTCTGAGTCCAATAATGACGCAAAGCATTCTTCATGTATATCGGCGGGTATATCATTTCTGTCGAGCCTTTTGATGATATTAGGCAGATTAGGACCGGGGACTTGTGTGATGAGGGAGAAGTCTAGTCCAAATGAGACGCCCAAAGCCAATGCAGCAGCGACAAATGCGACGCCGACAGAAGCTGAAGCGTGGATAGATGTTGAAGAAGGAATTCGGGCAGCATTGAAGTCGGTGGCAATGGCGTATTCTTGGAATGCTGCTTTCCTAATATCCCGGTAATCTGTGGATGGGACCAGCACAACGTCGCCTACACGAAGACGTGATGATCCTTTGGGAACTTGTAGTACAAGGCCAGCTAGATCCCGCCCGTTGATCCATGGCAGGCTGGGGATACCAAAGTTGAATGCCCTAATAGACTCATCAATTAGTCATCGATTATAATTTGGGAGTGCTTATTTCCAGCAGAGTAGTAATACTTACGGTCCCTTCCAGTCGATAGGGTTGAGGCCGATTGCAAGTACCTGTGAATCAATAGTCAACATCTCGTGGTATACAAGATCCAGTCCGCGCGGCCTGTCATACCTTGACCAGAATCTCTCCCTCATGCAAAACAGAAGGTATAGCATGGTCATCTACCAATGCGTACTGTTCACGGGCCCCTTTGAGAAGCAAGACTCTTTGTTTTGACTCCTCAGACCGCGGCGACGGGGGTTCACTCTCAGATCTTGACTCATTAGAGTAATCTGAGAGAGACTCCGAGAACAAGTTCTGGTGGAACGTAGTCGGGGTCTTCTGCAACTCTTCGAGTTGGAGGCAAGTAGAGGTGGTAGACATGGTGCTTGGGGGTAGTAATGGCATGACTTGAAGCTAGGTCACAGAACGTCAAACCAACTATTAGGCTCTATCTATATTGCCCTTGGTATTAGTTTATATGATCTCTCGGGCGAGAAGATAAAGCCAAAGCACGCCGCGCGGGGCAGTGATACCAATCTCTCCCATAAGCACGTAGGGTTGGAGTACCTCCACTAAATGCTTGGCTCTGGGACTTCCTAGCAAGATCAGTGGTATAATTCCGTCTCAAATTTGCGCCATGAGAGCGTTTCCGTACTTCCGAGGGCTATTCGTAGTCGTTATTCATTGCTCATGGCGGGGCATAAATGGCGTGATGAACTGGAAGACCGAGGGTCGATCAATGCTCTTATAGAAGATGAGAGACTATGAGGGCTGGAATAGTCAAACAGGGATAGAAACCTGATTGGCGATATAAACAGAATATACCAATAGAGATCGAATATTCTCTACTCTTTTGAATCACAAATTCGAAAGTTTTGAATCTCAAATGTCAAATTTCTAAGTTCATCTCCAAACTGATGTGATCCCGGGACGCGATGACGACTTGCAACTCCCAACCCCAGGATTTCAACACCCTGGACCTGGATGGCGAATACCTGGGAGATCTGGAAACAATGACAAAAGAGTATTTTTGTGTTATCTGAATTATTAATCGGTTTGGATTTGTCAAAAGTTATAGAAAAGTCTCTTGCCCAAAGTATGCTTTTATTTCGGCAATTAATATTAGATATCTATTAAGTCCATCTAAGTATACTCATCTTGTCCGAATTGTTGAAATAATGTAACTACTAGCGGGTTTTGTCATTTGAGTCAAGAGTATTGCATATCGTTGATACATTGTTGTACAGCCAGATTTCTATCACAAAGTACATGTGCAAATATTCTATGTACACTTTACAAGTTATATCTAGGCTCGTATTATATCAATGAATAAATAGAGACTGATAGTATACAATGATGTGTTGAGATAAACGTGTGGGGTTGCCTGGCAGGTTACCTAGAGAAGCCACACCCGTGATAGCCAGCAAACACAGTTCTAGAAGATCGTCTCGCCCACTAGTCTACCACCACCATTTTTCCAGAAACTCGCACCCAACATCAATGACCCTCACCCTCACCATGTCTCCTAGGAACCCAAATCTACCCGAGAGTTTTGCAGGGGGACTCTGCGAGGGCACAGAAGGTCCTCACTAAGACTCTCAGTACCCTTACATTTCTCTCATCGGCGCCAACCATGAGGTTAAGGGAGTATATCGCCATGCGAGTGCTTCGACCACAAGTACGAAGCATCCAAGACCTCCAACTCGATGACCAGTTTTCGACGAGGGCTCGCGAGATTCTCAGCTCGAAGTGCTCAATATTGGGACAGACACGTCCTCTCAGCCGTTCCAAAATTCCGACAATTGCCCCGGGCGCAGAATCCTAGCTCTCAGTCCGAGGCAGGTGTGGCACATGGCAGCTCTGGTCACGCTCAGAGCTCAGCACTTAGCGCTAGTTCTGGACATACTAGCCTGCCGACAATTCTGACAGCTGCAGCGGACGCAGGATGGGCTATACCCTGCCAAACGGTAGACGAACAAGTCATCAATGACTCCCTGATGAACCTCCTTGAAGCTCCTACAATCAACGTCCCAGAAGTGGACTGTCGATGGACTTCCGCCCGTAGACCATTCGGTACTGTGTCGTTTGGTCATAACCAAATGACTGCCTGCGCCGACGGTTATCTTGAAGGACAACATATCCGTGAAATATTCGCCATCGTGGAAGTGAAGGCAGCGCAACGAGACCGTAAAGCACGTCCAAATGTTCTATGGCAGGACTCAGGAGGGGGCAGAAATGGTAGCGTGGATCCTGACTGATGCGAACTCCCCGCAGTGTCCTCTTGAACAGTAAGCCAGAAAATAACATACCATTGAATGTTTCTTTGCCAACGAGCACTCATTGACGCCTACTGATCTCACAAGACAACGATGAGATATATTTAACACTTGCGACCTACCCGCCGGAATACCTCGATTACCTTCAAGGGAGACTCGATCTTTGGAAGAAAAACTCGGCAAAAGCTTTTCTCACAATGGAAGAGTATGGACCGTGGAGCATTAAAAACGAAAGCAATATGCGTCATTTTGCACAGGTGGTTATAAACTTCTACCTTCGTTTCACGGATGAGATCAACCAGGTTCGTGCAGGCGTGGGGACCTCATCGACAACATGAGTTCAGTGGTGTCACATCTTTAATACAAATCACCACGGGTTAAGGTTGGGAAGCCTAGTTGCGGCCCGCCCTCCGAACCCATATCTCGGCGATATGGGCCAATAGCGAAAATAGTTTGGCAGTCATATGGAGCTGAAGGCCCTTGCCTTCAATACTTTGCATGTTACTTAGGGATCATTGCCATATGTGGTTACTTCAAGGCGTCCACTGATCTATTTTAAAAAAATTCCCTGATCTACTCTACTACTATGGTTGGGGTAAAATACACATCATATTCAAAGCATATATATACTCACCTGAACCCCTCTAATCAGACTGATATTGCAACCCATCCATCTTCCACAAACATCGAAAATCTCATTCAACTAGCAAATATGAAAGTCTTCACACCAATGTTCGTGTTGATGGCATTCTCTACCTCCCAGGCAATTGCTGCACCTACAGGTAAGCCCCTATCTCACTTTCAATCCCGCCTATTATGAGGCCAATTTAATCAATTACAGCAGAGGCTACAGATCTAGAGATGCGCGCCGACTATTGCGTGAAAATCAGTGTATGCCACGGCTACAACTACGAGGGTGGCTGCTATAATGAATGTAACAGGCCCGGTACGGGCTACGATATCAAAAAAGAATATCGGAAAAATGCTGGCTCATTCAAAATTGAGACCAAGGGTTATGTCTGCCTGGTTGGATCGTGAGTTACCACCTATATCTGCTAAAAATAGGAGCTAATATATGTCAAGATCCGATCAGGGCACAGACAGAGTGGACTACCCTGGGATCAAGAGATTCAAGGATGGATGGATCAATAACATTAATGGATATCAGTGCAACAAAATCAAATGATAGGTACTATCCAGGGGCTTGGAGGTTATATCAACTGGCGAGGGAGGTTCAAATTGAGTTTACTACTGGTAATATGTTGTGATCTCCGGCTGCTAGTGTGGGGTCTATATTTCGATATATATCTCTGACAGTTAGAGAATATCATGATTCCCCGTGGAAAGCTGGCAGGTCCACTAGGAAGTAATTGCAATCTTAGAATCAATTCCAATATAGACTCAAATGCTATGTAGTGATTGAAGTTAAGCCTTGGAAGCGTTAGGGAACCAGTAAATTAATTTGTCTTTGATGGGGGTGGGCGCTTAGCATAAATGTGAAATATGTATGCCTGAGTGCCCAACAGATGCCTCTGGCTGCATATCGACTGATTTAATATGTACTATAGTAAGAGCTGGCTACGGGGCATAAATAAAAAAAAAAAGACCAAGAAATTTTACCCACATTTTAAGGTAGCTTCCCTAGTCCGAGTTGTGAGTTGGAAAATAGCCGGCGACGGTTTTCTTACGGGGCTTTGATGTGCATTGAATTGTGGAGTGCCTTTGCTAGGTTCTTTTTTCGAAATTCATTCCCAGACAACAGGAAATGGCACCATTATTAGGAGTATGAGTACTCCATTGCTCGGGGCTTTTTATACCTATGAAAGGCACCGTAGGAATTAATATTTGCCCCTTCAAAAATATGATAAAAAAAGCAACGGAAAACTCGCGAAAAGGCACGAAAAGCGGAGGGCCTCCCTCCGCTACCAATAAAAGGACCAAATATGTCATTTTACACAGTAGCACGACAAATGAATTACATGCGTTAGCTTGTGCAATAGACATTATATATGGGATAATATTTATATTTTTAGCGTCGCATGTGCCTGCAGGTTTAACACCTAACCATTATTCCTGACCATTATTCAGAGTCTATAACCCCTAAGATACTCCGACGTGAACTACTTCGAGAGCAGATAGTCACACAAGTCAACCATGAACAAGGCAGATATCAAGCTTGACCCAGAGACCACGGCTGGATTTAAACATGCCAAGGGGCTGACTCGGGATAGCGCTGATGCTGCTGGGCATTCTCTGGAGTCGAATCGGGTCAACAACGTCTTTACTAGTAACAAGGCACTTATTGTAAGCAAACAGACCATCTTTGTAGCTTGACCTCATCCCAAGAAGAATTACAATGACGGGGTGCGCTGATACGCTCTGCTCATTGAATCACAGATAAACCCAAATATGTGTGCTGTTTGTCGAGGGATATATTCATCATAAATCAATTGACTTGTGAATACTTCTGAACCTGAGTTTGTGAATTATAGGAAATAGCGGGGTATTAGTAGAAATATTCGAAGTGATACAGTAATATTTAAATAGATATAGAGTACAGGACGCTTTGAGAGAAGACGAACGAATGATTGAATGCTTAGGTTGGAAAATGGTCTGCTTTTATATCTAAGATTTTGAGCGCGGTCTCTTGATTAGGAAATCGAAGAAACTTTTCTAGAAGCATCAGCGGACCCTCGGTCCTTTCCTACACCCCATGGCTATGACCGCGGTTTCTTGATGAGCAGGAGTACAGAAAATGAGGACTAGGGCATGCTATCAACGAACTAACTATAAACGGCTAGGGGCTAATCCATTTTAGGTATAGTTTGTGGTAAGTGCATCTGAGTTGCTGATTGGACACTGAGCGGCACTGAGTAATCAGTGAGCATCCAACCTTGGAATGAGCACTGAGCTCAGTCACTCTGCACGTGACAGACGTTGTCCCTCTGAGCCCGTGCTGACATCTACTCAGGAGCATCCATGGATGAATAAACGCGGCGGCAGATAGGAAATCCCCACCCAGGGAAAATCCGGTATAGATGCATACGGAGTACTCCGTACAAATCTCTATAATGCAGGTCCTCGAAAACCCTTGATAATCATTCTCATTGGCCTCTTCCTCACTATATCTAAACATCTTAACCGTTTTCCAATTCGGGGTATTTTGCTTGCAGGGATTGTGCCGCCTGCAAGCTCCTTCCGAGCACGTAATTCCACCCCAGAACGACAACATTAATTGGGGTGATTGGCATCGCGGGGACAGATTATTCGAGGCAGTACCGACAACTTTTGATATGGAGTATACATCTCGCGCGGGCGCGACGATTATAACCTACCCCAACGCCTGTCAAGATAACCTATATCTCCATGTTCCCATGCATGTAGATCCTCGAAACCCCTTTGATAACTATCCTTGCTGGTAAGCCTCTTCCTCACTAGATCTAGGCATTCTAGCCGTTTTCCAATTCGGGGTAATTTCCTATAAGATTTGTGCCGCTCTATCAGCTCCGTGCGAGCACGTAATTCCACCCCAGAACGACAACATTAATTGGGGTCTCAAGGCTAGATCTCTTTGAAGCTAGACAGTGGGGTTAGAAAGACCAAGACAAACAATAACTCCTTGCCGATATGAGCATCACGCGGGACAGATTGTTCGAGGCAGTACAGCCGACAGCTTTTGATATACAACATAAAGTTAGATCTCGCGTGGGAGCTACGGTTATAAACCACCGCAACGCCTGTCGAAATAATTTGACTACTCAACTATCCCTTCCACTTTATTATGACGTACCCCGAAAAAGATGTTGCGCCGAGTGATGAGGTGAACAGTGCAGGTTCTTTCAACCCGTCTGTTGGTGGGCCACATAAAGGTGAGCTTGGAATGCTATTGAGTAAAGTCGATGAAGCTGACTGTGACCCTGAAAGTCAAATGGTACCGTTCGACCTTTTACAATGCCTTTATCCTCGGTCTTTGCAACTTCCTCGCCCCCGGAATTTGGGGCGCCATGAACTCATTGGGTGGAGGAGGCGAAGAGGAACCTTATCTCGTCAACGCAGCGAACGCCTTGACCTTCGGGCTTATGGTAGTGTCTTGCTTCTTTGGTAGTGTTATCGTCCGATTTATCGGCATCAAATGGACACTTATCGTGGGAACGATGGGATTCGCACCATACGCAGCAGGGCTGTACACAAACAACCGATTTGGTCAAGAATGGCTGGTTATCCTGGGCGCGGCACTCTGCGGTGTTTCGGCGGGCATCTTTTGGATGGCAGAGGCAGCAATTGCGCTTTCATATCCTGAGCCATACAACCAAGGACGCTTCTTGGGATTCTGGCTCAGCTTTCGTGTTGGAGGTCAAATTCTCGGCGGTGCCATCAGTCTGGGCATCAATGCCCATCGGTCGACCTCAGGCTCTATCTCATACACTGTGTACTTGATTTTCATTGCGCTGCAGGCTCTTGGCCCTTTTGCTGGTCTGCTTTTGAGCAATCCGTCTCAGGTACAACGAAAAGATGGCGTCCCTGTTCAACTTCAGGTGACGAACAGCATCGGATACGAGCTAAAGAGCATGTCGAAGCTTTGGATTAGTCGCAAGTTTTTGTTTATTATTCCATTCATTTGCCAGGCTGTTTATGCCGAGGCTGTGATGTTCTCGTACGAGGGATTGTGGTTCTCAGTACGGGCCAGAGCTCTCGGGTCATTCCTTTCCGGAGTCATTGCTTTGATCATCGGTAACCTTCTCGGGGCCTTCCTTGACACCAAGCGTATATCTCTGAAAAAGAGAAGTCGATACGCATTCTTTCTCGTCGTCGGGTGGCAAGGCATGTGCTGGATCTGGGCATCAGTTCTGACAACGGAATTCAACAAGACAAAGCCGATATATGACTGGACTGACCCAGGTTTTGGAAGAGCCTTTGCCCTCTTCCTGTTCTGGGTTGCTGGCTTCCAGCTCAACTATATGTATCTGTAAGTTGAATCTTGTCTGGTGACGGTTTTTGAATTATGCTGATTGATTAGGTTCTTCTTGGTGGGCAATCTTGCGGATGATCAAGAAGAGGTCATACGAATTGCGGGTTTGTTGCGAGGGACTGAATCCGCCGCGCAGTGTGTCAGCGTATGTACTCCTCTTATCTCACTTTTGTACAACATGAATACTAACGAAGTGTCTCCAGTATGGTCTAAGTAGCGTGAACATCATGGCCGCGGTGGGTAGTATATACCTCAACTTTGGCTTGTGGGCTATCGCGATCTTCCCTGCCTGGCTCATTGTCAAGCAGGTCGGAGTAGCCTTTGGAGATAAAAAGATCGCGAGAGAGACTCCTGGTTTGCGCGAGGCCTCAGATCATGAGTAAGTGGCTGGAGCAAAGGCTCAAATACTGGCGCAAGTCTACTAAAAGGTTGATGCGGCACAAGGATATTTAATTTAGAATTTTGGAGTGCATCCCCGTGTCTGTGTTGTAAATATATACATTGAAAAGATGATAGTTCTATGATAGGCCTGTTCCTGGGATTCTTGCAACCCAAGACACTTTTAAAGCTATGCGATAAACCCGAATTCCCGGTTATCATGGTGGAACACAAGCAACGCGAGGCGATGTCGTACAAACAGGCCGAGCATTCCACAGACAGTTTGTACTGCAACCATGTGCCACGCCAGTTGGTCCTCTCGCATTGGACCCATCCACACCAGCCAAAGATTCAAGATAGTGAGATTACTCGATTCAGTAATTCGACCATTCTCGTCTTTAGTAATTCGCACTAGTCTCAAGGTGTGTAATAAGCGCAATGCGGTATCGATTATAGGCGACGGGGGACTCGTCCACTCCGTGACAGAGGCGTCCAGCAGCCCAGTGGAAGCGCTGAACTTTGGCAATCGATGGCGAGGACAAGGAATGAGCTTGAAGAGTTGGGGGGTTGAGTACAGGAAATTGAAGATCTGCGGCATGAAGAGTAGCAGCAGGGTTTTGCTGAAATGCCCTAGGATACCAACCACGGCAAACACCATTCCTGCGAAGTAGCAGTATGTATCGCCCACGAACACCTTCGACGGATACCAATTATGGCACAGAAGGGCTGCTGATACACCAATGAATGGAAGCAGGAAGTATATCGATAACAAGTGCGAGTCGGTGGCAGGGTGCGGATATGGTGTCATAGGTGCAAGGTACAATGCATCATTGAATAGC